CCTATCACCTACTGTCTTAATACCCCTAATATTTATCCTTTAAATCTTTGTCTACCATTATTACCTATGCCATTTTTATTCTTTTCTTTTCCTATATACTAAAGTTTATATCCGTCAAATTCCTTAGCTTTTACCCCTTTCCACTTAATCTTCTGTAAACAAGCTATGTTAACTCTCATTTGTCTCATTGTATCTACTAACTCCATATTTACCGGATAGAATTCCAACATTCCATGTGGCCAAATGAATCCGATTCTCTTGGACTAGCTTCTTTACTAGTGCTCGGCCAAAATGGCACAGTAACCCCTGCCTACTCATTACTGCAACCGGGTGTCGTTATGGCGTGTCGCTTCTGGGGGATGCCCTAGCTAACCTTTGCTCATTTTTCACTGCACTTGTGTGCTGGTACGGTGCATCGCTTACAAGGAGTGCTTTAACACGAGCAAATAAATAATAAATATTAGAGGATCAAGTGAAAAAGTCCGCCTCTGAAATAACGATACTCATAGAGTATCACTTTGTAATACGCATCTCATACTCATAGGTGTCACATGGATTTCCCTTGCAAAGCAAGTGCTAATAAGTAATATCTTGAAGCAACCTTTTAGCTTGTCTGAGTTATGGGCATATCCGTGTTAGTTTGAAGTAAGAAAACTTCAACAAAAGCAGGAAGTAGGAAGCTTTACCCAAATAAACATTTCATGGCGCAACATAGACATAGATGATGCTGCCATGATTGGAATAAATTTTATTTTATGAAAGAAGAAAGCTTTTCTTCTCTTGGCTTGATTTACAACCAAGAGAAGTTCTTCTCCAATAAATAATGGAAAAAGTTCTTTCTCCATTATTGTTGATTTTACTTGTTTAAAGTTTAGGAAAATGGTGGATTCAATTTCCCACATTTCCTTCCTGCATCAAGTGGTTTCATAGCCCGCGATCCACACGAAGGTACTGTAGCAATGTACAGAAGTACTATAGCACTATACATAAGTTATTAAAGTACTGTACGGACAATACTGTAGCATCATTTTTTGGTGCCTTTGAAGTTACAGTGGGATCTAGGGTTTGCTGATTTTGACCTAAGTTTTGCTCAAAAAACTGATTTGAGCAGTTTTTTGTTGATTACTTACCTAGGTTTTGTGATTTTGGTGAACACATGGCAACGAGAAGGCGCTGTAGAAGGGAGATTTTTGTAGATTTGCTCTGTGATCCTAGAGTGAGAGAATTGAAGAACTTGAAAGGTAAGTTCAATAGCTGACGCAACAATTCACGAGCCTCAATAATGGGCAAGACGGGTGATCTTTCAGCCCAAGAGGATCTTGCTTACAAGTTTTTTCACTTTCACGCTCCGGGTGTGGAGTTAGGTCATGAGGATAGTGATATAAGACCTAGATGTGGGAAACATCACTCTTGGGTTTTCGATTTGAAGGATGATATTTTTGATTGACACATATTTTATTGAAAATAAACAAGTTGTAGATTGAGATTTACCACCAATCTTTGATACATACTCAGATGAACAAGAAAATAAACAAGATTTCTTAAGAGATTGGATCTATGATAAGGATCGAGTTGATGATGGATATATTTTGGAAGAGGGTGAAGAATATGGAGAGAAGCCAGTAGGACTGATCCAAATTATGGCCTTTGAAGATCTCATTAATATCGACGATATAGAGCATTCAAGAGATTTAGGGTGTTGGAATCAGAGTAGCACAGATGAAATGTGGTCATCTCATAAACCGTAAATTGTGGCCCGAATTTGTTGAGAAAACCTCTAAGGGCCAAAACATTGAGTTCGGAGTATCTTACATGATTTTCAATGGGAGTTCAAGAACAGCTGAATTTGATAAGTTTGCATCGATTCCTCAATATACATATCAAGATCCGTTCTTGAGGAATTCTTTTTACCATGAATAATATTTGGGCCCAGCAAAGAAGAAGGCTAAAGAAGGCGGTTTTGATACTGAATTCATCTTAGCACAGTTCAAAACTCGAGGACGAGTTTCTCCAACCAAGGGAGAATGATGGAGGGTCAAATTGGCATTTTTTCTTTTTCTTTATTTAATTTCAAAGGATATGTTAGTGGAATAAGTTTTATTTTATGAAAGAGTTTTTTTTTCTCTTGGTTCGATTTACAACCATGTTCTTTCTGCATTATTGCTGATTTTACTTGTTTAAGGTTCAAGAAAATGGTAGATTCAATTTCCCACCTTTCCTTCCTGCATCATAATCGCAACAAAATTTTGGGAATAAAACAATTTCCTTCCATTGCTTCATAAAAACCAAATAAAGATAAGTGTGTGTTTCTACATGAGAAAAGGTGAGTCTTTATATGCACATTGAGTCAAAATTAATATATGAGTGTAATAGTAAATAGCATTTCAATTTGTGTTGGCAAGCAAGTCAGCAGGTAGAGCTGGAAACTTCAACCACATTGAATCTGAGTGAGGTACTGACATTTTTGGTTCTTGTTTGGATTTAGATCCTTTGCATGCAGTCCTCATAGTTGTTGAGATCAAGAGCAGAATCAAGAGTGGGATCGACGGAGATCATGAGAGGTTAGAAGATCCCTGTGGTTGGAATCGTTGTGCTTACGATGCAAATGTTAGGGATCTAGATCCTTGAATATGAGGGATCTCGATCCCAACCTTTCGGGGTTCTTGCTCTCAACCTTAAAGAATATCTTTAGTCCAGGACTATATATCTTGTTTAAAGGTCTGTTTGACAAAACATAATCTGAATATCCAAATTTTAGAAAATCTGAATAAAGCCAGTGCCCTGCTTTTCGTATATATGAATTGTATGTAATCCTAACATCTGTTTTTTTGTGCATGTTTGACTGAATTTTATAAAAAGAATCAAGGTGCAAGCACTATGCATGACTGATTCTATAAATAGTCTCTTGGATATCTTAGACTTTTTTCTTCTGCTTACTTTTATTTTTTCAAATTTTTTCTCCAGGTCACGATCATCTAATTTTGGGTTTACTATTCTACTTTAAGCTTTGAATATTCGGCTTCCCCTGTGTACTCTCTCTCCCCTCCAAATTCTTTCAGTTTTCTCCATCTTTGAAAGCAATTATTCTTTTCTTCCTTTTCTATTCCTGGTTGTTCTTTCTAGTTCTGTTATTGATTTCCTTTGAATCTCAAAATTTTAGTTTGCTTCTGTAATGGAGATTCCTGCGGCTCTAGTTTTCCAAATCTCAGACTGTTTCTTATGTTTTCCTTTCTTAAGCAAATGTTTTCTTTTGAAATCTATGGCTTTTTGCTTAGGTTCATTAATAATCTCCTTTGAATTGTAGCCTTTCTCCTTCCATTGATTTAATCATTCTCCTTTTAGTTCCATCCAATCTAGAGCATCCTTCCATTAAAAAATACTATTTGAATTGAACTTCCATGCAAGAACGTTAGTCTCTCTATGTTCAATTTCTACTGAACCTTGATGCTTGCAAAACGGCATCTTTCAATTAAAAATCAAGTTGCAAGCACAATGCTCAAATGAGGACCATCCATGGAAAAAGAGAAAAACCCATAAGAAGAAATCCTCTGATCAGAAGCCAAGCAGTCATGAAACTTGCAGCAACATAGCTTGGACCTCAATTTTAGCATAGAAGATTGAGAGCCACACAATGATTTAACACAGGAAAGAGTTGGAGAACACAGAAGAAACCCAAGAAGGAAACCCACAAGATTCTTAGAGATTGATTCAATCTCTAAGAATTTTGTGTTTAATATGCCATTTAACTATGAGATAGTGACTGAGAAGCTCTGGTATAGGCTTCTTGGAGATGGTGGTTCTCAATATGTGATTTGGATTATGTTGCTATGGCTGCTCATATTCTCTCTCTACCTTCAGCCTTCTTTAGGAGTACCTTACTCCATACTCTGTAAACCAAAGTGAGCCTAGAGATGAATGATTGGGTGTGTGAGAGAGAACAACCAGAACAGAGAGATAAATAGAAAGGGGCTGCAGAGAGAGAAAAGTGGTAAGGGTTAGATTTAGAGAGAGGGGCTTGGGTGGAGAGAGCTTTGGTTTGTAGAGGGAGAGAGAGAGATGAGAGGCTCAGCTAGGTTGGAGAGAGAAAGAGGAGGGGCTCGGTTGGAGAGAGCTCGAGGTTACAGATTAAGGAAGAGGGAGAAGTAGTCTCCACTAGAGAAGAGAGAGAGAGGACACAAGTTGTCAATTGCGTGGAATGCCGCCCAATAAACTTTTTAGTATCTTTGAAATTTCAACTTACTTGATTTTTTTGGAATTTAGATATTGGATAGTTATTTGGATATATCCTGATATGATTTGGTCCTAACAAACATGGTCCACCAATTTCTATAATTAGAATTATAGTATTCAATAATAACTTGAAATATCAGGATATTAGAATGTTATTAAACATGCCCTAAAGTAGGGATTCCTTTATTTATAGCTAGCAAGCAATGTAAGCATACTAAAGTATATTTGCATTGCTAGCCGGCTATAATATAGAAAATCATTAGTTTGGTCATTATCTTGGTCTTTAAGGTGGGGATTGAGATCCCTATTGGTGGAGTGAGATCCCAGATTTAAAAATCAAGATCCCAAGAAGATCCCTTTCCCATAGCACTGGACTGTTATTCTGTAGAGCAATGACCACCTATATTGGGAGATCCTAGCAGCGTTGGTACTTCTGGACATAAATGCATGTACACACTGATTCTTTTTGGGATCAAAATCTTTGAGCCCTATCATATGGAAAAAGGTCAGCATAGCATTGTTAATGTCCTCCCCCATTCCTAGCCAGCCCTATTTATCTCCGGCTATGTTGGTCAGGTGGGACCTGCAATTTAGCTTTGCACATTTCTTAACTTCAATGGATTTTCATGAGCTAGAAAGTATTGCCTTGCATGGATAACACTAGTCAAATCAGTTTCCTTTCTAAAGATTGCATTTTTTATATGTCCTTTCTGAATGATAGTTTTGCACCTTTATCTAAGTTGGCTTGCTTTGATAATGTGATGAAACAGGTAGGTTTCAAAATGTTTTTAGGGGTCACTGCATCTGTTACAAATTGGGATGCTGATGGGACAAGTTGCAGTCTTGTTTTGGAGGATAACCCCTTGGTAGACTTTGTTGAGCTTCCTGATACTTGCCAAGGTCTGTACTATTGCAACATCTTAAGTGGAGTTATTCGAGGAGCACTGGAGATGGTAAGTGTCTCAAGCTTTGTTTTCTCTCATTAGTTTCAGTTCTGCATATGTTGGAGCTCTTTCTTAGCGTATATGAGGTATTGATGTCTGTCATTTGTTATCTTAATATCTTTTATGGGAAACTAATTGAAAAGTTCATTGATATTACCAAAACTGGCTGTAGATTCACCTGCACTTTCTGAACTTGACTCATTTGCCTCTGGCGAGTTTCAATTTGGTTTAGTTTACTAATTCTTCAACCATTTGCTCTGGGCTTTGGCTTTCTTGGGACTGGGTTGACTGGTAAATGTGGTGGCTGCTGTACTTGCAAACAAAGGCTACTTTGCTGATACAGTTGGTATTGTGAGCTACTAGCACAACTGATATATATATATATATATATATATATATATATATATATATATAT